AATGCTGTGGTTTATGACACGATCAGACATGCAGTTAAAAAGCAACAGGAGAATGAGCCCTTGGCACCATTCTAAATTGTCACCTAAAAAGATTAATTCTATGTAGGAAATACTTAGAAGATATTTTTGTAACAATGAGTATCTTTCCAAAAAAGAATTAATTACTTTTTCCTGCCCCCTCCCCTAAAATGCCAAAACCATTTAGGAGAACCAGTAAGTTTTAACAACTAGGCACACTGATTTCAAGTAGCTTACAGAATTAATGTTTTATGTAGAATGGCAAAAAGTAACTCTTGGTTTCTGAGTATAATTATTTTCCTTAGTAGGGAGCCTTTACTGAGCTTCCATTTGCAACATCAGCCTGGTGGCTGGCGCCCCCTTATCTTTAACATTAGGCTTCACTGAGCCCCAGGTCTGTACATTCTGAATGCAGCCCTCAGTTGGCCTGCTCTTCCTTCTACTCTTCCCTTCCTTCTTTGTTCATTCATTCATTATGTGTTATTTTTAAGATTTTTTTTCTTATAAAATAATACTCCAATGAGTCAGTTTTTGTGTTGCTGTATAGCATTTTCCCAGGTGGGTATGCCTGTTCAATGGAGTGTTGCTACATACACAGCATTCATTAGTGCTGTCTAGTCAGCCTCCCTCTTTTGCCATATTAGACAACACTGTAGTGACTATGCTTACACGTATAGTTTTTTCTCTCGTTCTACATGATTCCATTAAGATAAATTCCAGGAGTAGGAGTTCTGGGTCAAAAGGGATAAATATTTTTATGGCTTCTAATAGGTATTGCCAAATCAATTTCCCTTTTAGGGTTTGTGTCAAATTATACTGCTCCCAGCAGCATTATGCCTGGATTGTGGATGCCCGCTCCTCCTCAGTCCAGCTTTCCTTTGAGCTTTTCTGTGAGCTACTGCCAAAATATTCTTCCAGAATGCGGTTTAGAGTCCTTCATAGCCTTCCCCTGCTTGACTGTAGCCTATCAGCCATTTCAGATGCAGTTTTTAAAATCCATGCCTTTATCCCCTCACTTCACCCATTTTAATTGTTTTGCATCCATACTGGAGGTAGTCTCACTGAGGTTTCTCTAAATGGCCCTTATCTCATACCTCTTGTTTCCCTTTAATTCAGAACTGCCTCCTTACCAACATTTCTGCAGCTCATTTAATTTCAAAAACTGCTTCTTCTACAGAGTTGTAAACAGAACCTCCTGTAATGATGCTATCTTTAGTACGTAATGGACTTAACTGGTGGCGAGTTGCTAATACTGCTGGTCAGTATGGCCAGTGAGAGAGGTACACAGGAAAAGTAGTACGGAGATGCTCAGAGGAGTGGCCTGTTGGTTTATTTTTAGGAAAGCTTTAGGTAGGATTCAAAAGAGCACTTGCTTCTGTCTAAAACTTGAGAGAACAGCAATTCTGGGTGCTGTGTTCTGTATGTCTCCTCTTTATATGAACAAACCAATTTATTCTGTCTATTCTCCTCTTTTTCATCTACAAAGTGGAAAATACAGTGTTGCCAATCATTTCAGGAGAATCATGAGCTCTCTTCCCTCTCCGTTATTTTTTTCCTTCCTATCCTCAGCAGCAGCGTCATCATCACGATCACCATCATCCTAATACATACTATTTACTACATGCCAGGTGCTGAGATGGTGTTTTATATGCCATAGCTATTTGAACCCTCACAATCAGTCTATGAGCTAAATGCCTACTCCATTTTCACACGAGAGGCCCAGTCACAGTTCCTTTCTTGAGGTCAAAACTAGTGAGCCACTTTTCAAAAATATCTTCTTTATCTATAATTCTGTGATTTCTTATGGTATCCAGAGACGAGAAAGTCAGCACATTGAAAGGCCCTTCCAAACCTCTGTCTAATCTGGTTTCCATTCCCAACTTCCTCCTTGTATCATCTCTTAACGTGCACCCATGTTCCAGTCTCAGAGAGCTGCTTGTTTCATGAATGTTGCACAGTCTTACACGTAAGTCTTTGTTTTTGTCCCTACCATGTTTTCTAATTTGCCTCTTGACAAACTCTTCAAGGTCCAGCCCAAGTGTTGTTCTCCAAGCTAAGAACCTGTCCTCTTTCTGGATAGTGTCTTGAGTCTCTGTCCTCCCTTTGTTTGCATTTCTGCTGTAGTCTTTTCACGTGGCTTTATAATTGTTTTACATGCCTGTCTCACTTTAATAAGAGTATTGAGATGGGAAAGCAACAGTTTTATAAGACTTTCATATGCTTTGTTTTAAAGAAAAAAAAATCAAACTTTAAAACTTGTATATTTAAAATGACAGTGTTTTCTTCTTTCCCTCCCTCAGCATAGGGCTACTTTCAAATTTGAACCCACAGATGAAGATAAAAGAAAGGTAAGACTTGATGTGGCCTCTGTGTGTGTGTGTGTGTGTGTGTGTGTGTGCGCGCACGCACACGCGTGCGTTACACTCCTGGACTTTTAAAGCAGTGGACTCGTTTTCATCTGGTAGTTATTGATTAGTTTTTGGTTTCACTTCGGTTTGTTTTTCAGGAACTCTGCGAAGAAAGAGAGGTGCCAGGTTTAGGATGGGGTACACACAACTCTCCATCTTCACAGGACTGCGGGACTTGCATAAATAGGGGAAAGGCTCAAGTGAGACTGTCAGCAGATTTTCTTACTGCCAAAGGTTGTTCCTTTTGACAGCAGGATTCCAGGTTGTACAAAATGCCTGCCTAATGTAAAGCTCAGCCATGACAGGCTATGTTTTGGGAAAGCAACTTTTCGTACTGCTGTCCCGCAACCACATATCCTTCCCGGCGATGTCCTTGTTTATGTTGTTAGCAGTTGTCTACGTCACTGGCTTCATAGGCATAGAGGAGTTATTACAAGGGAGGGTGCAACAGAAAGCATAACTGTTCAATGTATGCTTGTCTGTTGGTGTGCCTATGACTGCTTTACGTGGTGGGCCAAAGTATGAGACTGATGTGGATAAACTTACCAGACTGGCCTTTGTGTTTGGCTGGGTTCCATACATCCATCCCAGCTTCACAGATGCCAGGATCAGATAAGAATATGGCTGAATCAGTGACATCTGCAACTGCAGGTGGAAGCTTGAATGCTAGTAGTGGACTGTTAGCGCCTTAAGGTATCATTTACCTTCTACGTTTAATATCTGTTTCGACCTCTCTTTACCTCCTAAGATTTCTCAGTCCATTTTCCCTAATTCATATCTTCATCTGGATTGCTGCATCCGTTTTCTAACTTCTTTCACTTTCCAATGGCATGACTTTCTATGTGATTGTCCACAAATCTGAACAGTCTGACCATGTCATTGTTAGCCTTAACATCTTTTAGTGACTTCCTGTGCCTACAGAATGACACACTAGGCACCAGGGATCTGCTCTCTGCATATTTTTGTAGCCTTTTTCCCTCTTCCCCTTGTACTTTATATTCTGACAGTATAAAGTACTCACAGTCACACACGCAGACATATCCTTTTTGTGTCCTCCCTCCTGCTTTTCTATTATTGTTTTCAGCCTAGGCTGTCTCTCTAATAGACCTCTTCTCCTTTTCATCAGTAAATTCCTCTTGACGTTAGACCCTAAGGACTCATGATGCTTAGCTAAGTACTGCTACTTAGCTTTATATTCACATCTGTAGGGCCTAGCACGTATTCAATGAGTGTTTATTAAATGAATGGCCATGGAGTATAAAGAATGCTTTTTAGGATAGAGACTTCTCAACTAAGGATGTGCTTTTTGGGTACCTTTTTAAAGGTAAGCCTTCTCAGGCTTAATCCTTTACCTACTGAGTCAGAGATTGGAAAGTAGACCCCTATCATATGTATTTTTATAGATGATCTTCAGGAAAGGGGTGTAAAGTGGCATAGTACTGGCAGTTGGCTATCAAAATTAAGATGCCTTTTACCATTTGACCAAACTGTCACCTTTGGAAATCTATTTTATATTTAGATTGAAGTGAACAGATTTTTTTATGGAAACATACATAAACAGCAAGAGATTGGAAATAGCCAAGTGTCCAGTAATTAGGAAATATTTGAAGAAACGACTCACATTTGCATAATGGAATACTGTGAAGTAGTAAAAAATAGAGAAAATGTTATGTGCTAATGAGAAAGAGTTAAGTGGGAAAAAAGAAGGCATTAAAGCATCATATTGGGGCACTGGAGAGATGGCTCAGCAGTTAAGAACACTGACTATTCTTGGAGAAGACCCAGGTTTGAATCCCAGCACCCACATGACAGCTAACAACTGTCCGTAACTCCAGTTCCAGGGGATCTGACAGCCTCTTCTGTCCTCCACAGGCATTGTACGACACGGGTGCACTTACCTACATGCAGGCAATACACACATACACATAAAAAATTTTTTTTAAATTAAAAAACATCATATTGTTTGACAAACTCATAGTAAGAATTCAAACTAGGAAGGCAGCTACTGTGTATTTAGTTTGAAGAATCTATCCTATATTTATAAGATTCATGGATAAGATTCATAGTGCGTTAGGAACTTAACTTCAGACTCCTTGGCAGTAAGTACATTAAAGGGTAGGGAGATAACTCAGTATGGAAGTGCTTGTCTTACAAGCATGAGGGCTTGAGGTCAATTCCCAGAACCCACATAAAAATGCCAGGCACAGTGGCGCATGTTTGTAATCTCAGCACTGGATTGCTAGAGAGAGGCTATCACTGGGACTCACTGGCCAGTCTAGTTTAATTGGTGAGCTTCAGGCTCAAAAAGGAGGTGGATAGAATTTCTTGAGGGTGACATCTGAAGTGTTGTCCTCTGGCCTCCACATACACATGCCCCTGCACACACATGCACATACACATAAAAAAAATACATTAAGACAGATTCTCTATTCCATATAAATGTTAGTTGAGAGAGAAAAATTTCCCACATGCTTATTATTTATACATGCTGTTTATTTCTTGTAGAGTAGTAGAAAAACCTTACATTTTCTGTTCTCTCCTCCCTTAGTTTTGATGGGTTTGGTTCTAGAAACATTCCCCTATATATACACAAATTCCCCTAGATACTCAAGTTCCTTATATTCCTAGGGTTTGCATGTAACATACACACATCTTCCCATACACTTTAAGTCATCTCTAGATTACTTATAATACCTAATATGATATAAATGCTTTGTAAGCAGTAGTTAAACAGTGTTGTTTAAGTCATTATTTTAAAGGCCTATATGTGTTCAGTGTAGACACACTTTTTTCTTAATGTTTTTGATCTAGAGGTTGGTTGAATCTGCTAATATGGAGACTGTCTTCTGCCACTTTTAAATCTCTAGAGTGACTTCTGCTCTAGTGTTTATTTCAGTTTGTGTATAGGTTTCTGCTTCCTGGGAGGTCTGTTATAAACATGTGTCATTAGGGACCTAGGTAGGTAATCTTCATTAATGGAAAAACATTGGCAAACAAATCTATTTCAGTCTCCAAGGGTTAAAACCATTAGTGACTCTTTCATGCCTAAGGCATTTTTTAGGCACTGATATCAAAACTATTGGACAGCTCCAAAGGTTCTGTGTCCTAATAACATTTTAAGTTCTCAGTGTAGAAATGTATAGAATACTAGGTACTTCTTTAAGCCCAATCTAAAAATACAGTGAATTTAAATTACAATTTCTTTGCTTCCTTTGTACTCTTTCCTAAATGTGCTTCTAGAGTCTTTTATCAGTAGCTGCTTGCTAACAACAGACCCAAACTCCTGCCCCACCCCCACATAAAGTACAGTGCTTCTCAAAAAAAAAAAAAAACCCCACAGTAATAGCTTTCATTAAAAATTTTTATTTGTTTATTTTTATTTTATGTGCATGAGTGTTTTGCCTGGATGTATATAAGTGTACCCATATGTGCAATGTCTGCAGAGGCCTAAAGAGGGCATTGGATTCTGCTGGAAGTGAGGTTATGGACAGTTGTTAGTCACCATGTGGGTGCTGGGAACCAAATCCTCTAGAACAGCAGCCAGTGCTTTTAACCACTGAGCCATCTCTCTAACCCCATAATACCATTCTTATATAAAAGAAGCTTGGCCATATGTGGTGGTGTATGACTTTAATCTCAGCACTCAGGAAGCAGAGGCAGCTGGATCTCTGTGAGATCAAGGCCAGCCTGGTCTACATAATGAGTTCCAGGTCAGCTGAGGCTAGAAGGGAGACCCTGTTTCAAAGAAAATTAAAAAAACAAATTTTGACAGCCTAGAAGCAGTGTAAGGGAATAATATTGCCCTTCAAAAATAAAACTTGAGGGGCTAGAGAGATGACTCAGCAGTTAAGAGCACTGGCTGCTCTTGCAGAGGACCCAGGTTCAGTTCCCAGCACCCACATGTTGGCTAACAACTGTCAGTAACTCCAGTTGCAATGGATCTGACACCCTTTTCTGACCTCTGTGGGCATTACATGATACAGGTGCACTTACATGCATGTAGGCAATACATTCATATACATATAATTAAAAAAAAAAAAACCACAACTTAAGTCTGGTGTGGTGCACATGCCTTTAATCCCAGTACTCAGGAGGTAGAGGTAGGTGGTAGATTGAGGCCAGTCTGGTGAATATAGTGAGTTCCAGGCCAGCTGGGGATACAGGGAGACCCCATCTCAGAACAACCAAAAAAAGGGGGGAAAACCCAACTTGATTATACTATTTTGCACGTGGTTACAGGTAAGTGGTGTCTAGACCTGGCTCCTGACATACAGGTCGTGTTTTACAATTTTCCAGAGCTTTGCTCCTTATCTCTAGTGCTATTAAGTCTGGGGAGGATGTAAGAAAGCCGAGGTTTAAGCTCACAGTAGTCAGGAGGAAGCCGAAGGTGGAGTGAGTTTCCTGTTCTGTGGAGTTCTTTCAATGCTCACTGCTCATTGCTCTGTCTCATCACCTTTTGAAGGACATTTCAGAAGACTTGGAATTAAGACCTAGTACTTAATGTTTTAGCTCTATTTCATCACCATTAAGACACCATTTAAACATTAGTCTTAAGTTAGGAGCTAGCAAAGAAGATTAGTAAGTTGAAATGCTCATATTTTTCTTAAGGAATAAAGTCAGATGCAATTCTAATGTTTGTACATACGATGCAAATAGTTAACAGGTGCATGTGGATTATTGTCTGTTGGAGTATAAGCACCTGTACTTACTTTACATCCTCTGCCTAGACTGATGGACTGTGATTACCTGTCAATGCATAAACAAATACATCATGCAAATATGTAGGATGGGGGAAGGGAAATAACAAAATGGCAAATAATATGGAAACTTCTTACATCTTTTTGGGGGGGCATGAAGACCCCCCCCCAAGAAACTTCTTACTTCTTAAGACAATGAAAGCTTTTGTGTTTTTTTTGAGATAGGGTTTCCTTGTAGCAACA